CTAAATTCATAATGATTTCCTGTGTTTTACGATCCAAATATTTGGGTGTTACCTAGAGTTAAGACAGTTTCGTTATCAATTAAAATGATTAAGTTTTTAGTGCCAAATATCTACTTAATTCTCCCTAATCTTACCTGCCTTTCCCAGTACACATAAAGACCCGCCTCTAGAAAGGCAAGTAAGTGTTTATCGAAGAGTGGCATTAACGGCCAACCTTTTATGGCTACGGCACGTGTCCAATCGAAATACAAATCATCCTTCGTCACCTAAAATTGTAATAAAGTCCAAACAAATCTCGAATCTGAAATACCAAATAAGTAAAAAAAAAAAACAAAATGAACGCACAATCCTCGTTTCCAGCGCAGGTATAGTTATATATTTTCCGAAAGTGAAAGCGCCACTCATTAGGCGCTCGATGCCCAGTCCATAGTCGGAACGAAAGCTAGCATTGTAGAGAAAATCATAGTCATGCACAACGAATTTCTTGGCCATTACTCGTTCTTTCTCAATATTGGAATTTTCCACTGATTGTATCCATATAATGGATGGTGTACTCCAAGGCCAATCGGTTTTAGACCATTTCTCTATAGTATCAACAGCCTCGGAGAAAAGCGGTACAGTTAGTATGGATTTCAATTGACCGCTGTAGGTATTCTCCAATGTGATGGTGGCACAGAGAATAGTCGCCAGAAAGAAGCGACCGGCGAATGTGCGTAAACTATAGGAAAGTAAAAGAATTACTGCACAGATTACATTTATGCCAACAAAATATGTACTACGAATACTACGACATCGTCAACTAACGAAATATTTATCGTCTGCAGCCACCATAGCTGAGTGTACTAACACTAAGTGGGATCTAGGTTCGATACTAAGGAAAATAAACGTATTTTTGAAATTTGGCTTGTACGGAATTTTTTTTTATAATTGCACGTAGATTACTTCTATGCACTTGACTTGTAAACAGTTTTCGATACAAGGCTTGGCTGTTCAAAGGTAGAACGCCGCCACACCGCAGTCCGCCGTGAACCAACGTGACGGTGACGCCCGTTTGCACATCAGCAGAGCGTCGGCAGAGCTACGCCGACGTCGCCCTGCAACAGAACGCCAACAGAATTGCGTCGATGTCATCCAGAAGCAGCGCGTCGACAGACAGAATAGCGCCGACCTCTCGCGACTGCGGGTGTTTGTAGAAAATAAGAAATACATACCAAATTTGTAGAGGATAAGCATATTTAAATACAGTACTGTTTGCAAAGGCCCTCCAAAATAAATTTATTGTAACTGACCCTGGGCACGGCGAGTATGACCCAGCATAGAAACAGGGAAAAACGCTTCGTTACAATTGGCGTCTGAGATATAGCGAGTTTAAGAGAATATTTCACGAAAATTGTCTGCTGTAAAAATCTGGTTTTGTGGCATTCTCGACATGAAGGCATCGGTAAAAACTTGGTTAAAATTAACTGTAAATGTATTTTTGAGTAAGCTATCGATCACAATTGGTTAAAAATCACCTAAATTCACCTCAATTTAATGTTTTTGTACGCTGCTAGTGGTTTTCGCTGCTTGTTATTTTGGCTGTTGTTGTCGCCCAGCTACTTAGCTGATTTGCAGATAAAACGCTTACTTCTCTTTGCGTGACAGATTCGCTTTGACAGATAAGTTGAATTGTATGAAAATGCACAAAGCACGCCACATAGATCGTTGCAGCTGCAACGCAAAGCTATAACTTTTGCATCTGGCGCTTTGCTTGCAAAGTTATAAATGTCACGCAAAGCCACAAATTTTTATCTGGCATCAGCTTAACGGACCTTCGCATTGCGTAACCTCTTATATATAAACCTTGTATATTGGTGTATATTTTAGTGCGTTAGTGAAGAGGTCAGGAAAAAAGGCCTTTTCTGGTAGGGATGTGGGAAAACCTTCGGAATCGTGTGCTTTTGTGTCGCTCACCTTTAAATTAATTATATTTATGTAATTTTACCTTTTATAAAAAATTTGGGCCAGTGCCGTTAACGAATTTTTAAATATATATTCAAAAATGATATTTTCAATGGATCTTAAGTGAAAATTATTTTTTCATAATTTTTTTTTTGCGTGGCCACTTCACCAATCTTCATCAAATTTGATACAAAAACTGTCATGACAATTTTTGAAATCGCACAAAAAACATGCACTCTAGAAATATAGCTAACTTTTAGTTTTCAAAAATTATCATGTTTTTACTTACAACTCGTTAAGCATTTGTGAAAAATGCATCACACAAAAGATACCAAAAAAAAATAACATAATTATAGGAGGGGGAAAAAAGGTAAATTTCGCGTGTAGTAATATGTAGATTAAAATACTAACTGACGAAAATTAAAACTGCTTACCTTGTAGGTCCCGATGGTTGTTGTATAAATACCGCAAACATATCCAATAATGCGTGACCAAATGCACTTTTATGGGGAAAATTCCGCACTTGATTCTTACGTCGATTTTTCATTGTGAAAGAAATAAGTCGTATGAAATACATAACAAAGGCGCAAAGTAAAATGGTAAACATTATGAAAATCCAAAGACTGCTACTAAATGGGATTATGTTAGCACGCCATGCCGGGAATAGACTGAAATGGGATATTCGCTAAGTTATTATTGACTTTTAATTGAGTTTCTATTACTATTTATACGGGTTATGTGATTTTTAGCTTATTTGAGCCATTTATTTTGAAAGTGGCATAAGTCACTTCACACCTTTTGTGCGTAAATGATCGACTACTTTATGTCCATTACTGCCCATTTAAGCACAAGAGGTGTGAAGTAGTGACTTATGCCACTTTCCAAATAAACGACTCATTTATATTATTACACTTACGCTGGCGCTGGTCCCAATACGGCAACCGACGATCGCGCTATTGTGTATGAAACTTCAGTGATGCTATTGTACCAGTTGTAAATGCAACCGATAGCCACTTCGAAGTCCTGTATATAGAGGTCCCCCAACATACCCACTGAGCTTTGGTTCTCATAAATGTAACCCCAGTTATCAGCGCCATCTGAAGAAGATATGGATTTCATGGAAAAACTAATATTAAAGCTATTAAAATTTGGCATTTTAGAGATACTATCTTTAAAAAGGAAAAGAAGACTGGTATGTGCATAAGGAATGTAAGAGTAAAAATTAAGCTCTTATAGAGACTTCTGAACTGCCGATAACATAAAGGTGCCATGCTGTGTAGGGTACATCAAAACGACCTAGCGATCGGGCTTGACTCTATCAGATAATCGGATGCATCTTACACTACATAGCAGCTGTTAAACGCTTGCAACACTCTTTGCCAACTTGTTTTCCAGATAATAGGCTCTTTTATGACTTAGGCAAAGATATGGAGGGGGATAGCACGGCGCGAAGAGCTGGTGCATATCATCACGGCCGGTAACTGAGGCGCCAGTGAGGTTTTCCTAGTCTCGTTTGACGACTTTAAGTCACTTTACCAAGATTGTTTTTTTTTGAAGAAGCTAAAGCATGGGCGATTTAGATTTATAGGAGCTCTAATGAGAGGTTTTAAGGCCTGCCTATTATTTGGCCATACTTCTACTCTTTGATGGAAAGTTACTATGGCCGTCGTTCCAAAGCCGGGGAAGGGTGATAATGCGCCAGCAAAGAGCTTAAGGCAAATCAATACGATGTCCTACATAATAAAGAGACTGAAGAGCACTGTCAAGAGTATATTACTTCAAAGGTGTTGGTAGACAGTTCCTTTAGTACTCCCCAACACTTCTGGAAGTATCTGCTGATTTTGATGGGAGGTAAGTGTTAGGCAGCTGCTGCCACTGGATTTCGGGATCCAAGTGGAAGTAATGATTTTGGTACGAAAACCAGAATTACAGGCACAGATAGTTGTTAAAGTGGATGTCGGAGCAACACCCTTGAACGGTGGTGTCCTTTTTTCGAAGAAGCTGCTATGTTAGCTTTCCTATAAGAGAGCAATGGAAAGCAAAGAAAGATTTTTTCGGGGGCTCGATAATAACAGTCGATATCGACGGCTCCTAGGATGAAAATGGAATTTTAGCTGGATGGCTCAGGCCAAATAATGGCGTGAACATCAAATCAGCGTATCTAGTGGCGTTTTGGTCGTCGTTCATTAAGTACCTACTTCTTTTTTGAATGATGAGAGTTTTTACTCTATAGCTTCTTGGCCTTCACTAGACTGAGATGGTAAATTTTAAGGTCCGATGTATTGAGAACGGATGTGCTACGTACTCTTTAACTTGAAAATCTACAAATTTCGGCTTGTCAAAACTAAAACAAACAGCAAACTTAAACAATTATAATCTTATAAAAGCTTGTTAATTGCTACGAGTCTATAAGTTAAAAAGAATAACTTTATTACAATTTGTACTTACATGGTCTTACGCGCAGATGACAATTCCGAAAATCGCAAAAGGTTGTTAATATCTCGGCTTCGGAGCCTATGAATAATACTGTGCGATTGAATTCGTTCGAATCTAAGGCGTCGACGTTGCCGGTACCAGGTGGCTAATAAACAAGCATTTTCATAGTCTTATTAGAATAGACAGACATCTGTGTCCTAAATACATACATACATGTGTATATGTACGATCATTAGACCGCCCAATAAACATTTGGCTTGGTTAGCAATTCGAATATGATTGGAAAACCAATCTTTTTTTCGAGTCTTACCTTCGATAACGAATGTGCAATAGGTTAGTATTCGATTCGAGAACTAAGGCATTCTCCAGCAAAACGGCACCTGCGTTATCCAATGTATTTTCCCTTCGTTATGAATTCGAAATCCAGCCCATTATCGAATTGAAATTTTATTGTGAGAGAGCGATTTTCTTATATTTTCCTTCGAGAATGAGCTAGATTTCACTTTCTCTCTTGTTACTATGGTTTTAATTTTTTTTCGAACCCATTTCGAGTGTATTTCAAATTTACTCTGAACGTTGGAAAACCAAGGTTGGTTACGAGTTCGTTCTCAGTTCGATATGCACATTGGATATCGAAGGTACTTTTCGAACGTTCGCTAAAATGTTTATAGGGCGTATAAAAAATAAAAAATAAATAAATTCAGTAGTAAGAAACTTAAAACGCACACTCCCAAGATAAAGAGCGCCTGGGCAATATATTTGCCAAGCTTAATATTCGAGACCTATCCAACCAACTTTAATACCCAAAAGATGTATTTTAATTACATATTAATTTCTTATTACGATGGAAAATGTGAAAGTTAGCAGAAACGGCCATTAGGCAGTATTTTTGTGGATGATGAATTCCGCGAAGGTCGGCCATTAACTGCTGTTGTTGCGGAAAACATCAATGCTGCATCTGCAAACGGTTATAGATAGTACCGTAATACGTGGGTGAAATAGGTTCAAGACATACATATGAGGCCAAAAAACAAACCAACATTCCACTGGCTGGGTGTCTCAAACCGAGCCCAACTAAAGTGATTCACTTACGGATCAGTTAAAAAAAAAATTATCGATTTTTTCTTCTATAAAACTAGGCCATTTGCTATTGTTGCTCTTAGGGTACGTTCACACAGAAAGCGGAGCTGAGCCGAGCGAACCTGTTCCGAGCTAAGTGAAGCTTTTAAATTGCTGAAGCTATATGAAAGTGTTCATACAGCAAACTTTTTGCCGCGTTTCATTGACGGTAATTTTTGGGGTATGTTTCCAGCCAAGTCCATCAGAAAAGCTCCGTTTCCCTTCATTCAGTGTGAGCACCAGCAGCTTCGCCTTGTTCCACATTGCTTCGCTCAGCGCCGCTCGGCTTTCTATGTGAACGCACCCTAAAGGATCGAGGAAAACTAAAGTGATTCAGAATTGTACACAATAATTTGCTTTGCTGTCCGAAGTTATTCTTCACCACGACAATGCTGCCTCTCCCATGGTACACGAAACAGAATATTGAAGGGAGAAAAAGTCAAAATAATGACTTGTTGTCCATATTCATCTGATCTATAGCCTAATGATTACTTTCTGTTCCCGTTTGTTAAGAACAAAATGCGCGGTTCGCGCTTTTCAACATCTGAAGAGGCCGGTTGAGGTATTCAGAAACCATGTTTCGACAACTGGCTTTTTCATAAGCGAAAGTGTGTGGATCTCAAAGGCGAATATATAGAAAACAATAAGTCTTTTTGCAAGCTTTTACTTAACTCTATACGTATGTATGTATGTAGTTATGTTTGTTAGGTCGCAAATCTTGCAATCAAATACAATTTTTTCTATGTTTTTCAGGGGACTTTCAGGGTTACCCTCGTATTATATATGTGTAGTGGTGAACTCTTACAAAATTATTAGTAGTTGGCTGTTGCTTAATGAAAATGGGTTAAGATTATTCTTGCAGAAAATTTATAATTTGACATGGGGATTATTTTTCTGACACATGTGATTACGTTTCTAACAAAAAATTACGCCTTCTGATTGCCCCTTTCTCTTTTCGTGTTCGATTCTAAATTAAAGGCAAAAGGTGAGACAATTTTGTGTTCGTTTCTTAAAATGTCACACTCTGGCAAGGCAAAAAAAGGCTCGTTCTCTGCCCTTTGAAGCTTTGTCCTTTGGTTGCCCTTGAAATCAGTTGGTGGCTTAAAACGACAATATTATGAAATGCATGAGCTAGACAAAGGCAAGAAGGCAAAAACATGCGCTTTTACAGGGTTGAGTGTAACATCAAACACAGTTTGCACCGGGGAAGGGCAACATTTTTTTGAAGAAATGAAATCTTCAATAATATTGTCGTTTTCAGACAAATGAACTTGCTTGAAAAGCTTATGATACATAAAAATAGTTATATATGTATATATCAATGTAGGATTTCTTAATACTTTACAACGATGAGCAATTAATAGAAATATGATATCAAGTAAAAATTTCATAAACAACCGATTTAAACAAGATGGCAAATCTGACACTATAGATATTCATAGTCTACACCCCCGAAATCTACTGAATACTACTTTTCAATGATATTCTCAAACACTTAAATTTTGGTAACTGCCATCACTGATTGGCAATCTTGAATTTCGTAAATCTAACATCGGATTCTTAGTCAGTGACCCCAAAAACCCCGACAAAAATGTGCGAAAATTTATTTAATTAATTTTACATTAACACTGCCCGGATTGTTGGGGCCGCTACTGTGTATGTGTATATTTATAATAATACATTTAGAAATATTGCTAAAATATCGATTATTTTTCACAAAACTTAAATTCAGGTATGTGTACATCTTTGAGAGGCTTAGGAAAGTTGAAGTCTGCCTATTAAACAAACAATTACAAAACTACAACAACGCCTAAGCGTATAAGCAACACATAACATAACGTCTAATGTTTAATGAGCCATCAAAAACTCATCTGCTGACCAACTTTATTTAGGTAGACCATAATCGTTTGCATGGCATACAACTGTAACAACAATGCACCCAATTGGATTAGCAATTAAATTAGAGAACATAAGTAATTTAAATCGACCGAGTTGTAGACTTAACGAGGTCACAGAAAGCATACATAAATGTCTGTATATATGTACATATGTACATAAATGTATAAGTTCGTAAGCACATCAGTAGTAGTTAAGTCAGCATAGTCGAATAAACAAAATAAACACATAAGCCAATAATAAACAAGTTGAGGCAAATAGCTACAAGCACTTACACGTGTTCTCTGGTACGCACGCAAGGACATACGCATGTACGTACATACTGATATATGTATGTACATGCCTACATACTTGTTAAGTCAACAATTGAGTGTGAATAAAACTTTTCAACTTGTCAATGCTGGAATTACTGCTGCACTTATCTCGCACAACATTATACAAACAATCTCAGCAAACAACTTGACAACACTCCTACCATGCGTCGCCCCTAACATGTATTTACATTTTAATTTCCACACTCCTGCCGCCCACTTGCAATCTATCCAAGCGGATTATATACGCCCCTGCACTTAACCAACTTACTGCACGCTTACTTCTCGAACCGACACACCACACACCGCGCACGACGGATGTACGACGACGAGTAAGTATATACATAAATAAAGACTTAACTGGAAATTACATACCACATAATTAGACACCACATACGGTATGTAGGTAGTGGTGCCAACATGTATTGTGCGTCCTTCCATGTTGTTAAGTTTGTTGGGGAAAAGTTCGACATTCCGTGCAAAAGTTTCGTTTGGCCAGAATACGTCCAGCAGCAGTACATTCAAATTTCCATTGGTACCAATGTACTTTTGTGTCCACAGTTGGATGCTGTTGTTGCGGTAAGCGGCGGGTAACAGCGGCGATGTGACAATGTTCGACATGGATGGAGATAAAGCAGGTGCTGGCTTACTGGTGGAGCGCTTGTGGCTTACTTTTGTTGCTGATGTATTGGGCATTTTTGCAAGCGTACTTTTAAGTGACTTCTCGGTTTTACGCTGTTTGTTGGCCGATTGCACTGCTGTAGGTATTTCCGGTGTAACCATTAAGTGATGAGGGTAAACTGAAATAAAATTGGGAATATAGTATTTACTAAGTGAAGGAGCGGAAAGTATTGAAACAGCCGTTTGCTGGTACAGGTTTAATAAAATAAATGTTGTAAACTTAGTATATACATTTGGTGACCTAGCAGAATAGATGGGGATGCGTGGCCCCATTCGGTTATGTAAGGGGGAAAGTCAATAACCGTTATGCTGCAGTAACTAATAAAACAAAATTCTCTCTAGCCGATGGGTCAAGACTAGAGTATAATAACGCATTAAATAGTTAGTTGAGAGAAAATAAAGAATAGGACTCGCGAGATATACCAATTTACTGTGAGATTGGCTCCAAAAGGAACTCATGGGTTTACTTCTGTACAGGAATCGATGGACCTTGCAGGAAGTGCGAGAACCCATAGAGCCCTCACAAACGCTCCTGAAAAGATCCGAGGCGTCCTTCCTCCTATCAACTTGCTAGCCGAAGCGCATTTTTCTGATTGCTTACTACCGAGCAAAAATTTTACCATCTTCACCCTTTTCGATGGGATGTAACTGCCATAGTGTCTTTCAAAGCACATGGTAGATAGTATCTTCCCAACTTTTCTCCAAAAGGGACCTGTAAATCCACTGCCCTTTTTAATACCGCTTTTCAGCGCATGCTATACGTGGAGGTATCTACTGTTACATTGATAGGAACGAACGGTCTCTTATATCCGCAGCGTGCGGAAAGGATCAGGGGACCAGCTAAAGTGTTACCAAAGAGCAGAGTAAAGTAAAATTAAAAAAAAAAATGATGCTCACAAAAAAGTATACTTATCTAAAGAAGTCAAATATCTGGAAGTTATCCTTGATGACAAGCTCCAATGGGATCGGTACTTCGTCAAAGCTATTCAAGAAAACAGTGCCCCCATATGAACTTGCCGGAAGCTAATGTGGAGAAGCTACCTCCAAGCGCATCCTACGATATTACCTCGAAGCGCATGCTAACCTATAGTGCGCCCGTCTGGTGGTACAACACTAAAGTGAAGTCCACGTATGACAAGCTCAACAAGCTAAAATGACTGGTCCGATTCGGTATCACTGGTGCTATAAGCACAACATCAATGCAACTCATCTCAAGCGGCAGTGCGTGAATGCTCCCTTCCACTTAGGGGTTATAGAATAAGGAAAAGCATTGCAGATAAGATTTTCAGGCCTATGCCTTCCTAAGTTTAACCCAAGGACATATGAATGGGGCAAGGTATATCTGCGAATAAGGATGCATTTACTACGGTATCAAAATGGGCCTCTTAGTACGGCTAAAGAGATGATCAAGATAAAGCTTACTAATAAGATTAATACTAAGATATAGATTAAGATTAAAATGAAGAAGTTAAAGATAAAGACTAACATTAATTTTAAGGTTTATATTAATATTGTAATTAAGATTAAGGTTAAGTTTAAGATTACAATTAATATTAGGATCAAAATTAATATTTAGATTAAGATTAAGATTGGGATTGGCATTGAGATAAAGATTAAAATTAAGATTAAGATTGGCATTGAGATTAAGATTAAAATTGAGTATAAGTTTAAGATTAAGACTAAGATTAAAATTACGATTAAGAATAAAATTACAATTAAAATAAGGATTAAGATTAAGATAAAGATTAAGCTTTAGACTAAAATCAGGATTAAGTTTAAAATTAAGATTAAGATAAATTTTCTTGCATGCAACAAACAACAATTGTGTCTTTTATCCGACTCCATTACCAAAACAGATTACCATCCAAATTCTAATAAAAATCAAAGTCAAACTCAGTCATTCATTTTGCAGATGAATGGATGATGCGCCGTTTTAAATGGATTTATACAGACCTCTGACGTGCACCTATTTTTGTACATATGTACGGTTAACTGCAGCATTCACTTACATTGCAATATTTCTGTAGAAAGCAAATCCGCTGGATTTTCATGTTCGCACAAGAACAGATAAAATTTATCTTTGAGACGTAGATCAGCGTTACGTGTTGCATAGTAACGGGCATGCAGGAAACGCACATTGCCCGGTAGAATGGTGATGAAGCCCTGCAACAACACGCATTTAGCGAAATACCAAAAATAAATATAAAAGTAAAGAAAATAAAAACGCGGTTTCCAAATATGTACTATACGTTTGCATGCAAGCTGAAGTAATGCACGAGTGGGCGCTGGTGAAAGCTAAATTTACCTGAATGCATGTACACGTATGTATGTACATATATGTACGCATGTATAATTTTATCAGAAAGGCCATAAATGCGTAATTGGTGACTGAATGTTACAGCCGAGCATATTTTATTACCGTTGTTTGGCAAGGAAGCGTGTAGTGACTGTCATGCGGCACAGATACATACATACATACCTCGGTCACGTGGTTAACGGCGCGTAGCAAATGCAGCTCCAATTCATCGTCGTAGTCATCGCCATCGTCGTTGTTGGTGCCTGTGCATTTGCTGTTACTGCGGCTGACATTCTGGGCTTTGCTTCCGATGCAACTGCTGCTGCTGCTGCTGCCGCTGCTGTTGCTTCTCCTATTCAGTTGACTGACATCAATCCATTGCAGACCAATTAAGTGCCCTTGCTGTGACAGATTGCGGAATGCCAACTGCACTGCCTCAAGGTACTCTTGCTGCAAGGCAGTTCCGACACCGTTCTCCCTCACCCCATCATGAACAATCAAGACGGAGGTAAGTTGAGCGAAATACCTTTGGACTGCAAGAGAAAAAACAAAAAAGAATATATATGTGAGTGGGAGTATGACAGTGGCAGTGGCGAATGAGTGAGGTAGTAAGTAATCTCGCCGCTATGATGTAAAGTTGCCGCATTCAAGTTGCAGGTAGTACGTAAATTTGGTGTTAACAGTCCAGCATTTATTTTCAGCAGTCGACTGATGGGACGACTACGTAGTTAACTTACTTAAAAGCTGCAACAAAGTGCTAACGTGCGTATGCGGTGGCAACAGCATTTCATCGCGCTGATCCTGTTGAATTTTATGGCTTGCTCTTCCGCTGTTGACTTGCGCGCTTGCTTGTTATATGCACTTGTAACGGGTTTTATGCGCTGCCTGTAAGCCGGCTGATGCGATGGATGGCTTTTATACAGCGCCACGGGTAGACGTTAAGTTTATTAAATGAAACTATGGCAAGGCTGCGTAGGAAATGGCAAGTTAATTGGACAAAAGTACGACAATTTGTTGACAAATGAATCGGTTTTGCAAATTGAAAAGTAATCGCAAATAATTGCAATTTAAATACTGGATCGCCATTTCAGTGGCGCAAAAAGGCAAGGCCTAATGGTTGATAGTTGGAAAATTGATTCCATAAGTACCTAATAGGCAAATAAGTCAATACTCTTTTGAAAAGTGGGAGAGATCTAAAAGTAATCGCAAATAATTGCAATTTAAATACTGAATAGCCATTTCAGTTGCGCAAAAAGGCAAGGCCTAATGGTTCATTTTTGGAAAATTGATACAATAAATAGATACTTAATGGGCAAATAAGTCAATACTGTTTTGAAAAGTGGGAGAGAAAAGTGTAATGTACACGAGTTTCGGGGTATTGGAGGTTTTATGATTAATATGTAGAATACATTCGTAACCAATTAAGCGCTGTAAGATATCGAGTGCTGAATCCCCCAAAATAGATTTTCACCAAGAGTATGAGACAGCTTTTTTTGTAAGACTTTTGTGTTTACTATCTTAGCCCAATCACCCCTCAACAAAGAAAACAAAAAATCTGTGTTAATTTATTTGAATTATCTCTTCAAAAAGTCTAAAGTCTAAAGATATTTGAAAGTTAATTAATCAATGCCGACAGGCTGAAACTGCCAAAGATAACCCAATAGCAACAAAATATTAACACATAAACACAATTTCATTTATCACACCCACAAGTTAGCTTGTTAGTAGTTATTTATAACTGCAGTTACTTAAAAGTTTACGCTCGCATGCCTTCGGAATTACTAACCTTCATCTCTTATATTTATTCTTCTCCAACGGCGATGTTGATGAAAAGTTGACAGGTAAGCGAACGTTGAAGTCCCTTTCGCACCGCTTAGAACATAAAACTTTTTCCATTTCAGCCATTAAATAAACTGAAAGCACAGCGAGCTAAAGGTGACAAGTGACACAGTAGTGGCGGCCTTGGGGAGCATAGAAGGCAGCCTCGATTAAGGTCGTATGCCTTTGAAGTGGCCTCACTAACACCTTTTTGCTTACCAAACAAATTAACTTAACAGAAAATTTGTTAATTCGTTGGATAAAGTGGAAGCTGTTAATGAAAGTACGACATTTGGCCGAGTTGAAAGCATTTTAGGTGACAGATTGCTTAAAGCAATAAGGTGAATCTTTTCATGAAAATTGGTACTTATTTGCAGAACGAAAAATTTTTTTTAGTACGGAAATGTTTAAGTGAAAATATATTACAAAAATGTTAGGGTCAAAGGCGATCAACTTATACATATGTAAAAGAGTACAAGAGAGAGTATGGTAATCAAAAAAGGTTTTGAAAAATTTGACAGAGGAAGAGATTTTTTCAAAGTTTTCCACTTCATAATTTCGTACTGGAAAGATACGCTTGATATTATATGTAAATGTGAAAGTTTGTAAGTGAGAGTGCGAGTGTGTGACAATGTTTGCTGCTCTTTCACGCTAAACTGTCTTAATGAATTTCAATGAAATTTGGCACACACAGAATGAATAACCTGGATAAGTGCATAGGATATTTTTTGAGGAGGGTTGCCACCTTTTTTGAAGTTAAAATCAATTAATTTTAAAAGTAGATAAGATATTACAAAAACGTGGGTATCAAACGGAAGGGTTAATAACGATTTATTTAGAAATAATTTCGCAAAGGGTTACCACCTGTTAAATAAGGGAAAGTAACTTTATATAATAAGTATAATCCAATACATATGTTACGGGTATTAAATGTGTACAAAAATTAGAAAAACAAATTTAATAAGTAAATGAAACGAAATATTTTAATACGGGTATCGAACGGGAGGTGTTTAAGAAAACTTTATATCGAAAATATATTTGGCAGGGTTTGCCACCTATTAAAAAATTCAAAATCAATAGTACTTACAAATCAAAATGAATTTTTTGATATGAGTGTCAAACGAGAGATGTTTGAAAAAGCTTCACTTGCAACAAATTTGTTTAAGTGATTGCCATGTGTTAAGAAATTCAAAATAAAATGTAACAAATAAAATAAAATATCTTAATATGGGTTTCATATGTGCATAATTGCTAAACTATTANAAATACTGAATAGCCATTTCAGTTGCGCAAAAAGGCAAGGCCTAATGGTTGATAGTTGGAAAATTGATTCGATAAATAGATACTTAATGGGCAAATAAGTCAATACTGTTTTGAAAAGTGGGAGAGAAATGTGTAATGTACCCGAGTTTCGTGGTATTGGAGGTTTTATAATTCGTAACCAATTAAGATATCGAGTGCTGAATCTCCCAAAAATTGATTTTCACTACGAGTGGTAAATGAGACACCATTTTTTTTGGAAGACTTTTGTGTTTACTATCTTAGCACAATCACCCCTCAACAAAGAAAAAGAAATCTGTGTTAATTTGTTTGAATTATCTCTTCAAAAAGTCTAAAGTCTAAAGATATTTGAAAGTGAATTAATCAATGCCGACAGGCTGATACTGCCAAAGATAACCCAACAGCAACAAAATATTAACACATAAACACAATTTCATTTATCACACCCACAAGTTAGCTTGTTAGTAGTTATTTATAAATGCAGTTACTTAAAAGTTTACGCTCGCATGCCTTCGGAATTACTAGCCTTCATCTCTTATATTTATTCTTCTTCAACGGCGATGTTGATGAAAAGTTGACAGGTAAGCGAACGTTGAAGTCGCTTTCGCACCGCTTAGAACATGAAACTTTTTCCATTTCAGCCATTAAATAAACTGAAAGCACAGCGAGCTAAAGGTGACAAGTGACACAGTAGTGGCGGCCTTGGGGAGCGTAGAAGGCCGCCTCGATTAAGCTCGTATGCCTTTGAAGTGGCCTCACTAACACCTTTTTGCTTACCAAACAAATTAACTTAACAGAAAATTTGTTAATTCGTTGGACAAAGTGGAATCGGTTAATGAAAGTACGACATTTGGCCGAGTTGAAAGCATTTTAGGTGACAGATTGCTTAAAGCAATAAGGTGAATCTTTTCATGAAAATTGCTACTTATTTGCAGTAAGAGACACTTTTTAATACGGAAATGTTGAAGTGAAAATATTTTACAAAAATGTTAGGTTCAAAAGCGATGAACTTATACAAATGTAAAAGAGGACAAGAAAGAGTATGGTAATTTGAGTAAGGGTTGCCACCTATTCAGAAATTCAAAACAAATATTACTAACGAGTTAAACGAAATATTTTAACATGGGTACCAAACGGGAGATATTTAAGAAACCATTACAGATATCGAAAATATGTTTGGTGAGGCTTGCCACCTGTTTAGAAATTCAAAATCAATTCAGATAACAAAGTAAAATGAAATATTTTGATATGAGTGTTACAGGAGAGAGGTTTAAGAAAGCTTAATTGCTAAACTATTTTTGAAGAGGTCATAAAGGTGAAATAAATGTAATTAACCAGTTACTAAAAGCATTTTAATAGAAGTATTTGGTCACAGGTGCCAACNTCAAAATCAATTCAGATAACAAAGTAAAATGAAATATTTTGATATGAGTGCTAAAGGAGAGAGGTTTAAGAAAGTTTAACTGCTAAACTATTTTTGAAGAGGGTTGCCATCTGATCATAAAGGTGAAATAAATGTAATTAACCAGTTACTAGAAGCCTTTTAATATAAGTATTTGCCCACAGGTGCCAACTAAAAGTGCTTTAATAAGGCTTTCTTCTACATTTATATTTTTACCCGGCTTACAACCTGTTCGAAATTTAGAATTAATTTAATTAACAAGTTAAAGAAAACATTTGATTTGGATAGAAGTTCAAAAGGCTTTATCTTGGGAGTAATTTTGGTTGGCACTTTGGAAGTTCAAAATTTATATAATTGACAAGTTACAAAAATGTCCGGATATGGCTTTCAAAAGAGAAAGTTTCAAGAAGCTTTATTTCTAAAATACTTTTTAAGAGAGAACTTTAGGTAAGCTTTGTTTATAAAATATTTTTAAGCGGGTTGTGCCAGTTTATTTTAAACTTACTCAGATAAAATGGTTTTAAATGTACCATTTAAAATAATGACAGGTCATATAAGACATTGAAAAGAATTGATTCGAGCAGTTGAAGCCAAACTTATGTTTTAACCAATGTTTATGCCACTTCACATGGGAGGAAGGCTATGGGAATTTTATACCTGGAAACGCACTAAAAGAAAGGAAAATTTCCCGATGAGTTATACCTAAGCGAATGTGCTTGTACCGAATGTATGTTCAAATTTAAGTGGCTGAAGAGTAGGACAAATTCCCAACATATATTCGTTTCTTTCTCTTCTTTTTTTTTTTAAATATTCTTTACTCTCGCATTCTCTAACTTGCATTCTATCATTCTTGACTTATATGCAATGTCCTGTAAAATTATGTAGGAGACTGCAGGTTGCGAGAACACTTGCACAAATTAGGAGATCTCTGTCCGTTCTGTGACTCAGCCATAGAGACATCTAGTCAAATGTGATGCCATTTCCACGAGATGAGAGTAGAATATAGAGTCAGCACCATTTTCTTCTCTACCCCATAATGACCTTTTGAACTTCTTGATGGCCTTAGGCCTAACAGAATTGTTGAGAAGAGAAGTGGGTACAATTGACATTAACTTCGCAGTCCCCACCTCAAATTAATACCTATCTAGATCAGCGATGGGCAGAGAGAGCTTTTACTCTGCTTAAAAATCTTTGAAATTACCTGATGGGAAGTTTATTGCAAGTTGTTAAGGTAATTTTTTTAGCTTACGAACTTTCACAGTAAAATTCACTATAACCAAAAATG